AAGGAGGGAGAGAGAGAGAGAGAAGGAAGATATACTGGAGAATCACGAAAGGAGAAGAGAAGAAGTAGGAAGAAGAGGAGGAGGAAGAAGAGGAGTAGGAGGAAGACGAGGAGGAGGAAGAAGAGGAGGAGGAAGAAGATGGGCTCAAGAAACCGTAAAAGTGAAAGACGGAGGAAATTGCAGTTGTTTGTTTTTGGTTGAGAACACAAGGAGAAAGTTTAGAAGAGGAGAGAAAGGGGAGAAGGGAAAGTAAGGAGAAAGGGGGAGAGTACTGAGAGGCAAGTAGGGAGGTGTGGGGAGAGAGGTTGAGAGGAGGAGGAAAGTGGGGAGAGACAGGAGGGGGAGTTTATGCTGAGTTGGAGGTAGGGAGGGGAGGAGTGGGGAGGGGGTGTTTGTGGGTCAGTTCAAAGGGAAAGAGATGAAGTTAGTGATGTAGCGGAGGGTGGGGTGAGGGGTGATTGGAGGTCGTGGGAGATAGGGGAGGGAAGGAGGGTATAACGTGCTGGAGGGGAGGGAAGGAAGGGGGGGAGGGGAGGGAAGTATGTTGGATTGGTGGGGAGTAAGGGAGGTTAAAACAGGTTGGGGAAAGATGTCAGTGGGAAGGAGAGGGGAGAGGAGGGGGGGGAGGTAAGGAGGTCGTTGCCTGTGCCCCAGTAAGGTGAGTGAGGGAGGGAGGGAGGGGTCTACATACCCAATAGGCGTGCAAGTCACCGTTCACCACGACCACCACCCCGCTATCGTCATCATCATCTCTTCCATCTCCCGTCTTAGCCTCAGTTCAGTCAGTCAGGCATAGCCCTCCCTCGATCAGTCAGTCATTCAGGTTCCTTCAGCTTGTCATGGTAACTGGACTGAAATATTCACCAGTCGGCCCATATGGTCAACACTCAGTCGACCAAAAACCTTAACCTGCATTTTTCACTTGACGGAAATCCCCTCCTTAACCTAACCTAACCTACACCCCCCATCTCCCTCACCCACCTCCCTCACCCACACACCTCACCCACCTCCCTCACCCACACACCTCACCCACCTCCCTCACCCACCTTCATGGAACCGAACCGTATCATTGTCTGTTATACGCTATTGATGATAACTGTAACGGGGATGGTGGTGACGAGACCTATACATGGACAGCGTTACCCCGATCACCACCGTCACCACACATGATCTGGACGCCTGTAACGCCGATTTAAGCACCGTTTGCTATATGTGTAACGTAACACTTAATAACAGGAACCGGATGGTACTGTTTGGTAGTGACTAACGCTGACTGTCTGTTACGAGTGATGTCATTGTCCAATTCACCATTGTTGTTGTCATTGTCATCATCACCACTACTACCACCATCAACCACCATCACCCCCCATACCATCACCCCCAACCACCCCACATATGCCATCACGGCCCCCACACACACAAAGGTAGTCTCAGGAACCTTTCAACGCGTGACAAAGGTCGGTGTCTTGTCATGGTGAGGTGTTGAATGGTTGTCTCCTTGGGTCCCATACACACAGGTGAGGTCAATTAACGCTCACACCTGGTCAATTAACTTGCACACCTGGGTAATTAACTCGTCCTTAACTCATCTCTCGTCCATCATAAAAAAGAGCGATGTGGGTGGTTGTTTGACACAGAGAGAGAGAGAGAGAGAGAGAGAGAGAGAGAGAGAGAGAGAATGACGAAGAACAATTATTATTATCATGATAAGTTAAAGCGTCACCACAATTGAAATAACATGACGGTGTTGTTTGGCTGATGAACAGGTGTTGAAGGCTGAGGAGGTGTTCAACCGTGATACATTTTGTTCAGTTAAGTTCACCCCCGTCCGTCCGTCTTCCGTCAACACGATCACTAGACCAAACTGTAATAGAACTGAGTGAATCATAGTAATTCAGTATTTTATTATGATGTTAGATATTCTCGATGATGATTAACTAAAGATAATGACATAATTAAGAATGTTAATAGTGAGTTTCAGTAATGATAAGGTGTTTCAGCGTCAGTAAAAGGTTAAAGATGGCTTTTTTAAGACATTGTAAGATCTCAAATGTCAGTATGTCTTGTGGTGGCATAAGATGACGGTGAAGTTGGGTAATAAATTGATGCAATACTTGTGAATTTTATATCATCCATAAGAGGTTGAAATTCAGATGGAATCTCTCTCTCTCTCTCTCCCTCTCTCTCTCTCTCTCTCTCTCTCTCTCTCCCAAGGTGTACAAGGAACACCCACCTGACCCCCCCCCCCACCTGTCCTGGGAGGTCAGAGGTGACCACATGTGCTGGTGGTGGATCCTTGGTGCCCCTGACTGACTTAACCCTGACACGTGTGGAGGAGGAAGAAGGGGGTGAGGAGGAGGAGGAGGAGGAGGAGGTGGAAGGTGAAGGAAGAGGGAGAGATGCAGGAAGGAGGACAGGAAGAACGACAGGGAGGAGGAGGAAGACTATTAGAAGGAAATCACACACTGTCACATCTGTCACATCCGTCACATTAAGACAGTATACCACAAGCTGTCCACACATCTCATGCCAAGGTCCCCCCCAGGTGAAGATTGTCACGTACAGGTGTGTGTCTCTCACGGCGGCAGGTAATAATATACAGTTGACCCAGAGCCGCCCGATCTTAAACTGTATTACACTCAAGGCTATACTGTACTACGTTCTGTAATGTGGATATATATGATTCTCTCTGACACACACACACACACACACATATCCTCCGTTTCCCACAACATTTACGCATTCCCACACCTCTCCTTACGCCCTTACGCCAGGGTAATTTTTTCTACGCATTATACTCTCCAGATTACGCCACTATCCTCGCTGTCTCTCTCACCTCACTCTCCTTCTCTGCGCCATTCTCACAGTCTCGCGAATCGTAGAGGTCATCACCAGGGGTCACGACAAGTGTGGTAATAGACAGGTGAGGTCATGACTCACCTGTGCTGCCTCGGCCTTCACCTGGAGACGTATCCTCTTCAAGGTCTTGTTTGAGTAGTTCCCTCTTATTGTTTTCCCCCACCTTAACAACTTCCTCCTCCTCCTCTTCCTTCACCCTTCCACACTCCCCACAATTCTTTCTCCCAACTCTTCCTTCTTCTCTCAATCCTCCTTCTGTCTTCTTCCTCCTCCCTAACACTCCCGTCATCCACCCCCCTCGTCCTCCTCCCACCCCTCGTCCTCCTCCCACCCCCTCGTCCTCCCCCCCCCTCGTCCTCCTCCCACCCCTCGTCCTCCTCCCCTCGTCCTCCTCCCCCTCGTCCACCCCTCGTCCTCCTCCCACCCCCCTCGTCCTCCTCCTCCCTCCCCCACCCCCCCCTCGTCCTCCTCCCACCCCTCGTCCTCCTCCCACCCCTCGTCCTCCCCCCCCTCGTCCCACCCCCCCTCGTCCTCCTCCCCCACCCCCTCGTCCTCCTCCCCCCCTCGTCCTCCTCCCACCCCCTCGTCCTCCTCCCACCCCTCGTCCTCCTCCCACCCCTCGTCCTCCTCCCACCCCCCTCGTCCTCCCTCGTCCTCCTCCACCCCCGTCCTCGTCCCTCCCTCCTCCCACCCCCTCGTCCTCCTCCCCCCCGTCCTCCTCCCACCCCTCGTCCTCCTCCCACCCCCTCCTCCTCCCACCCCTCCCACCCCCTCGTCCTCTCCCACCCCTCATCCTCCTCCCCACCCCCTCGTCCTCCCTCCCACCCCCTCGTCCTCCTCCCACCCCCCGTCCTCCCTCCTCCCACCCCCTCGTCCTCCTCCCACCCCCTCGTCCTCCTCCCACCCCTCGTCCTCCTCCCACCCCCTCGTCCTCCCTCCTCCCCTCCCTCCCCCCCCTCGTCCTCCTCCCACCCCTCGTCCTCCTCCCTCCCCACCCCTCGTCCTCCTCCACCCCCCTCGTCCTCCTCCCACCCCCCTCGTCCTCCTCCCACCCCTCGTCCCTCCCACCCCTCGTCCTCCTCCCACCCCTCGTCCTCCTCCCCACCCCCTCCTCCTCCCACCCCTCGTCCTCCTCCCACCCCTCGTCCTCCTCCCACCCCCCTCGTCCCTCCTCCCACCCCTCGTCCTCCTCCCCCCTCGTCCTCCTCCCACCCCCTCGTCGTCCTCCTCCCACCCCTCGTCCTCCCCCCCCCCCTCTCCCTCCTCCCACCCCCTCGTCCTCCTCTCCCCCCTCGTCCTCCTCCCACCCCCTCGTCCTCCTCCCACCCCCCTCGTCCTCTCTCCTCCCACCCCCTCGTCCTCCTCGTCCTCCTCCCACCCCCTCGTCCTCCTCCCACCCCTCGTCCTCCTCCCCACCCCTCGTCCCTCCTCCCCCCTCGTCCTCCTCCACCCCTCGTCCTCCTCCCACCCCCTCGTCCTCCTCTCCCCCCTCGTCCTCCTCCCACCCCCCTCGTCCTCCTCCCACCCCGTCCTCCTCTCACCCCTCGTCACCCCTCCCACCACCTCCTCCTAACACTCAAACAACCAGGTAGCCGGAAGTCCATCGTTGAGAGTCTCATGGTGTAATTTGGGAAGATAATTGAAAGGGGCATCTCTGGTCCATGGTTCACATCCGGGAGTCAGGGTAACACTCGTCTCTCTCTCTCTCTCTCTCTCTCTCTCTGAGATCTGGACAGGTGTGTGTGTGTTGACATAATCTTCATTCGCCCACTGAGCGTAAGTAGGGGAGGATCCAGGATCCAAGAAGTTGTGGGTGGGGGAACCTGGCGAGCGCAGCGAGCCCATCCAGCAGGGGGGCAATATCATGGGCATTTTAGGCCACTTTGAAGCTGTTAACACTTGATAATAGGAGATATTCTGAAATCAATGGTAAATACTTTTTACTGCACAAAAACACCTGAGTACAATACTTTATTAAAGAAAAAGTATTGGAATTTTCTGGTGAAAAGGGGGGGGGGGTGTCTGTACCCCCTGGATCCGCCCTTGGTAAGACACTTGAAAACTGTTTTACTGCTTGTGTCTTAAATTCTGTATTACGTTGTGTTTCAAACCTAACCTAACCTTGTTTTTCTTCTTTTTAGGAATCTGGTGAGGCAGACGGGGGCGGTGCTGGCGGCGCAGGAGGTGGCTCTAGCGGCAGCCAAGATGGTGGTGGTGGCGGTGGGACGTGATCACTACGACTACCTCCCCATCACTAACCTACGAGGGAAGATCCTTATTGACGTCTCCAACAACACCGAGAGGCGTAGGGGTCCACAGTAAGTACACACACACACACACACACAAAATCATGTTTTATTGATGTAATGTAAATGGATATGCTTTGTTAGTTGAAAATACAAGGTGAGAGAGATAGTTATGGTGTGTGTATTTGCTCTAGTATCTCTGTCGTGTCTTTACAGTTACCGGAGCAATGCAGAGTACCTACAGGGGCTGGTGCCGGAGGCCAAGGTGGTGAAGGGCTTCAACGTGCTCTCTGCTTATGCTCTCGAGAACGGCGGCCTTCAGGGGAGCAAGGAAGTAAGTCCTCGGCCGTGTGTGATGACGTGACTCTACTCTTTATAATACTGTACAATATTTACTTAGTGACAGTAGAGAAGTTTGTCATCATTGTACTGTATTCAGGTTGGCTACTTTTGATAAGACTGGTTTCAATACCTTTGTCATTATACAGTACAGGTATTATATTATGTTTTTATGTATTATAGTAATAAGGTTCATTTATAATAAGACTTAATGTAATATAACTTTCATCATCATAATATTTGCCTGTCATAAAAAGACTTTGAAACATTATTATACGACTGTTCATTGTTGGAAAAGTTATTTGAGCAACCCCCCAAAAAACCAAGCCGAATATATGAAATGTGGACAGATGACTAATGAAGCATTATTTATGACAGGTATTCCTGGCCAGTGACCACATAGATGCCAAGGCCAAGGTATCAGACTTAGTTCGGATGATGGGATTCCACCCTGTAGACTGGGGGAGCCTCCAAGCGTCCCGTGACATAGAGGACGTCCCCTTGCACCTCATGCCGTCCTGGAAGCGTCCCGTTGCTGTCGTGTTTGGAGTCTTCCTCTTCTTGTGGCTGCTGGCTCTCTTCTCGTAAGGCATATTTGTTTATAAAGGAAAACCACTTAAACTATATGAAAGACTTCAGATTAACAATAGTCATTTGAATTTATATATAACTACATTGAAATCTCTTTTAACAGACTATATATAGAGGGGAAAGTTTTTTATATCAAAGGTCCTTTACACGTGAACTCCCCTCCATCTAACGGAACATATGGAGATTGAAAACCATTATACAAAGGTTTCACTGTATAATTAAAACTACGTCGTCAGCAGGGCCGGATTTACCAATAGGCCAAGTAGGCCATTGGCCTAGGGCCCACCGGTATCTGGGGGCCCACTGAAACTAATTTGTTGCGCAGCAGGCCAGCGTATAACCTTGTTTCAAGTGTACACCGAGTATTTCATTATATATATTCACAACCATAAGTAATAATGAATAAGTAATAATGCAGATATAAAATTTTGGTTAACAGATCCTTAATCAGCATGTTCAGGAGTACCTATACTGAGATTTTGAACAAAATCTATTTTTTTGGTCGAAAATGACACAAATTGTAAGTCTTATGCCTTACAGGATTTTCGGCCAAAAAATAAATTTTGTTCAAAATCTCAGTATAGGTACTCCTGAACATGCTGATTAAGGATCTGTTAACCAAAATTTGATATCTGCATTATTACTTATTCAGATGACTTACAATTTTTGTCATTTTCGTTGTATGGCAATATGAAATATGATGATCTCAAAGCCCAACTGGAATTGGTTGTCAGTACCTATTCCAGTGACCTGGAAGCATCTGTTCTAGATGAGTTTTTGCAATTTAAAGACATTTTGTCTTCTGAATCTGACAGGTCAGTGACAAACATCTCCACTTTGCTGAGGTCTTAAGACAACTGCCTTTCCAAACATTAGTATCTTGGTAAGAATTTTCCTTACCATCCCCATTACAAATTGTGAAGGAGAGAGGTCTTTCTCTACTCTATCTAGGGTGAAAAATCACCTGAGGTCTACCATGGGACAAACCAGATTAAACTCACTTTCATTATTATGCATTGAATCTGGCCTCCTACAATCCCTTGACACAAACAGTATCATTGACACATTTTCCATGAAAAAAGTAGGAAGAATTTATTTTGAAATTCACAGTTTGCTGTACTTCATGTGCTTACAAAATTGTTTATGCTTCAAGTTAATTGTATTTCTGTCATTATTCCCATATATAAGATGTACATGATATAGAACTAATTTGATTAAAAGTAATGATGTGTCACATTGTGTTGAAATTCTTATTTCTTACATTATAATATTATGATATTATGTAATATTTGATGACATTTGGCCATTGCAAAATAAGTACAGTAAAATTTATATATATATACATACTGTATATATATATATATATATATATATATATATATATATGTATATATATATATATATATACTGTACATACATACATACATACAGTATATTGATTATTGAAACATGCAAACATTTCTATAAATTTGGGGGGCCACTGATGAGTTTGGCCTGGGGCCCACAAGTAGGTAAATCCGGCCCTGGTCGTCAGTAACACACAAATACTTTCCAGGTTCCAGATCTGTCCCAACATCGCTTCTGGTGAGTGGACTGAAAAATGGAGCCACATTGCCATGAAGAACTTCAACAGAGTTCTTGCCATCACTGCTATCTGGATCCTCTCCTTCTGCTACATCCCAGGTTGTTCTTCCTCTAGTTTATGATTAATATAGTAGTTCTTTTTGGATCATCTTAGTCATTATATCACCCACAACATTTGATGAGAAGTTGAATAATATAGTTTTATAAGTGGAATAACTAATAAAAATTAATGAATATATTGTGACCATTGAAGAATCTAAAAGGACTGTAGTCTTGTACATCATTATTAACATGCGTGTGGTGATGCAGGTCTGATAGCGTCTTACATCCAACTGTGGAGAGGAACCAAGTACAGCAGGTTCCCCAAGTGGCTGGATGACTGGCTCAAGATGAGGAAGCAACTGGGACTCCTGATGCTGGGACTTGCAAGCTTACATGTTAGTTTTCTGTTTCTTGTTTGATTTTGTAATGCAACTCTAGTCATGTATCCAGCATTATTTGTGTTTGTTATTTAAAAAGCACTCTTCCTCTAATACCTTACTGTGGGGTAGATTAAAGAAATGAAAGCCCCAGAAAAAGAAGAACATAATAATATTAATCAGTAACTTTGTCATTCAGATTTATAATTGAATAAGCATATTTATAAATTATTCGGGTATATATAGTTCAGTACTGTATGAATGTAGACAAAGTTTGGGAACCACTGTGAGTAGAAGAACCCCCCCACACCTTCATATCTTTAACTAGCAAACAAAGAAGTCAAAATTAACTCTTTAAACTCTCACCTAGATCCTTCATACTAATTCAATGTCCAGAGTAAATTGAGTTTTCTGGTTTAGTTATGCTATCTCAGCCACATACAGATTGACCTAAGTACTGTACACACCTCCTAACTATTCTCTTAGTATCATGTGTTACCTGTGGACCTCATTAATTAATTGTCATAACCAGTTCACCTTTGTCTCGTCTCTCATACTTCCTCCTTTAACGTGACCAGCCAATCAAAACCCAGATTAAAAGTTAGGGGGGCTACCACTCTTAATTAGATACAGTATGATAGAAATATATTAATTACAGTTCATAATTCTTCTTAAACTGTACCAGGCCTGCATCTCTGTGGCGTACGTGACCCCTCAGACGACATCCTGGGTGTACGAGGATCCCGTTAAGGTTCAAGCACAGGTGATAGTGGATGAGAATACCACCACTACCGACACCATCACTATCTACAACGATGAATTCAACTGGCGAGGAGAGCTTTTCCTCACTATGGGTATGTAAACAACAGCACTTATGAATGTTGAAGGATATATGTTTGAGAATGTATTACGGCATTGAAGAGTGTGCAGTACAGTATTGAGATTTAGAAAGATATATTTGGGGAATTTCAGATAGTTAAGTGATGGATCATATATAGCTGTGTGGTTAAAGAAATCATTATAGATGTTGTTTGTATAGTAATGGCACGGTTAATCTATTAATCTAATCCATCCTAACATAAACCAACTTAATTTAACCTTAGTCACACCGCACCACCCATACTCTCAGTCACACCGCCCATGCTCTCAGTCACACCGCCCATGCTCTCAGTCACACCACCCATGCTCTCAGTCACACCGCCCATGCTGTCAGTCACACCACCCATGCTCTCAGTCACACCACCCGGCTCTCAGTCACACCACCCATGCTCTCAGTCACACCACCCATGTCAGAGTAGTTAGTATATTATGAATGGTTCCCACATAAATATAGTCGAGAGCCTTTGACTGTGATTACTATACAAATTACCAATCTTTATAAGTCGTCTGTTTCCCACCGTAAAGTGAGGCTGATTTACCATCCTTCAACCACCCGTGTAAATATCTCTAAGTAACTATGATTTTAATGTTGAATATTCAGCAACTACCAGACCAAACAAGGTAATAATAATAATAATAATAATAATAATAATAATAATAATAATAATAATAGAATAATAATAATAATAATTAAAAAAGTATATCAACTACATCATGGAAGCAACTTTCATCAGTGTTTCGACAATGTGTACTGGAACAAAACTCCATGGATAGCACACTGTTTAAAAAATATATAACCTGCATTTCCTTCCATTTGAACATTTGTCTTTATATTATAGTTACGTGATATTTTTTCCGTGTGTGTGTGTGTGTGTGTGTCTCGTCGTGCATTTATTTTTTTAATTTCCGCAGGAGCCATTGCCATGTGTCTGACGATTGTACTGGGGATATCGTCTCTACCTTCCGTCACTGCTACATTATCCTGGCGGGAGTTTACCTTCATACAGAGTAAACTTGGCTGGGTAGCGTTGATTTGTGCCGCCGCTCACGACATCTTCCTAGCCTGGCAGTTTATGTTCCTCTACTGGGGATGTTTCAGAACACTCCCTATTGGCCCACAGGTAAGGTTGCAAATTGAGTAGAAATTTATACCGGTATGTGTGAACAATAACAGTACTGTATGTAAGGCGTATTTAATTAGATAAGAATTTACCGTAAGTTTTAACTATAAATATGGACTGGAATAGTTTTCTAATAATCAATCTTATAATACATCTTGCACCAGTAACGTACAGTCGGGCACAAAAGTTCGCTCCCCATCATGAAACCGAGTCGCGGGAATGAGTCTCCAAACTGACTTACCCTGACTGTTTCATCTCATTTGGGGTCGAACTTTTGACCCGACTGTACACATGTTGAAGTAAAATGTAGTTAAGTGAGAAAAATTACATTTTTTTTATTTTATTATTGTCTTGTATTTCAGTATGCCCTGTACCCTCCATTCATCGCTGTCATCATGAAAATACCCTTACTGCTCCCACCTGTTGACAATTACCTGCAGAAAATCAGAAAGGGATATGAACGTGGTAGTCAGTATGAAGTGAGGAAGTCTGAAGTAGCTTAGAGTATGTCTTAAACAGTACAGTACCACCATGCTCATACTTACCTTGGCCTACAGTGATCACTCTACCTTGTAAAGAACTGTGATGTGTGTCTCAGCTTTGTGTAGGTAGGACTTAAGAAGGCAAGGAAAAGTATTTGTAGTTTAAGGACACAATAATTTTAAAAGAGTTTTTAATATGAGCTTCTGTTGGTTGAAAGTAACAGGTACTTAACTACAAACTATGTGAAGAATTATTTTTATCTTGTTTTTAGAGATATTGATGAACCATGACCTATTTTATCTCTTCCGCTTATGATATTCTTCTGTGTTTGACTTAGACCGTTGCCATAGGGCTTTTGTGTTGTATACAGAACGTTTACATATATCAATCAGTTGGAGTACCATCCTTATATCTGAGGGTTGACGACCACAGTCCTCTACTCTAAATGTTCTTGGGCTGTTTTGACCAATCCTCTTAAGATTTTGTATCTCTGGGGACCCATTTTTTTTATTTCATTCACCCATCCCAGTCTCAGTCTTCCCCTGGCCCTCCACCCTAGTCTCTACCTTCCCCTGGCCCTCCACCCCAGTCTCTACCTTCCCCTGGCCCTCCACCCCAGTCTCTACCTTCCCCTGGCCCTCCACCCCAGTCTCTGCCTCCCCCTGGCCCTCCACCCCAGTCTCTACCTCCCCCTGGCCCTCCACCCCAGTCTCTGCCTCCCCCTGGCCCTCCTACCCTCAACTTTGCCCATTAATATTTATTATCTCTTGATCCCTTTCTTTTTTCTGTACATTTCAAGTATTTCTCTTGAAGTTTTTGCTAATTTTAGTATTTCTTCATTTATTATCTTGTCAGTGTAGCTTACTTTTTGGAATTCCCCTTTAACACCACATTTCAAAGGCCTCCAACCTCTGTCTGGTGTCTGCTGAAAGTGTCCACACTTCTGACTCATACATCAGTCCTTGCCATATAAAGCCTTTCAGCAGCCCTTTTTCTCAAATTGAAATTAATACATTAACACCAAAATTGATTACATTTGCTATGTTGTCTTCATAGGATCATACATACAGTATTACAATGTCCCATAGGAAATTATTTTTGTAGATAGAAGTTGTGAAACTGCATTTTAATATTATGATGAATTACAACATCTTTAATGGTGTTAAATTTTACAAGTGGTGTTTGATACAGGTAATGTTTTATAATCTGGACCAGCTTGGGTTTTATCCCCATTTTGTGTTTACGTTATTTAACTTTTCATTGACGAGATCAGTTACATAATATGTTTCTGTATAATCTGTGCTTGGTTAGTTAGCCTGACACAATTATTTGGGGCACAATTTTATTCACTACATGTATTATTAGTTTAACAGAAAATTGCCTATGCAAACAATTTACAAGATTTAGTCCTAAAATTTCATATAAACAGTTATCGTACTTTATAATTTTAATCTGCAAAAGTTTGTCATATTGTAAGCTGTTATATTTACTGTAAACTGAGTCCACATATTGATACAGTATATTTACTTGTTATTAAAGTACTGTACAGTAGATCAGTAGGGTTATGTTTCACGATTTTATAAAAATGGATATTATTACTAGCCTACCTAACACCCACTGATATTCTGATTGCTGTACAGTACCTGTACATTCATATCTAATCTTTTAGAATTTTTAATTTCACTGAAATATGTTTGCTATACAGTACATATCTTTATTTTCAATGTTTGGCCATTTTGCAAGCAGACAAGCATGTTGGTAATTTTGAAAAATAACTTGCAAACAGGCCACAGACCCCATTTATTCGCTGATGGGATACTGAACTATCTCGTTCAGCAGTTTAATCACAGGTCATGATGTGACCACACATCACTGGATCGGCCAATCCCGAGGCACTGGCAGTGTGACCCCCGAGGGTAGGCATATGTGCCTGAGCTGACAAAGACAGTTCTCCCGTCCCATCATTACTATCAGTGCCTGTGGTGTGTTGACTGGACCAACTATGGATGAAAGAAAGAAGTTTTATTTGACGCTGGCTGAAGCAGAGTGGACAAAGTTTGTTGCCGAGGGAGGAATATGAACAAATCACTTAAGTGAACATGACATTTTGAAATGGCTTTACACTTGAAATCAGTTCACCTCATACATGTGTGGAGAAATTCCTCTCCATTACAGATATACCAGTAGGGAAGGAGGTAAGTCTGCATGAAGTTGCCATTACAGACTCCATGGGGCACTAAGAGGACTTTGTTAAGTGTAACTGCTGTAAGTTGTGTCAAAGCAACGGCTGTGTTACAATAATAAGACCAGATATAAGTACAGCTCCACCAACAAGTCTGAGTAATAACAGCAGATAATTTTTTATTGTTTTATGTATTGAAGAAACTTAACTCTAAGTTCTTCACCCTTCAATTAAACACTGTATATTCCTTTTATTTGCCTTTTATCACCGGAAATAAATAACCATATTGAATGAATATTGTGGTCTTTTTGCAAATTAACCTGTAAGAATAGGAGTTATTTTGCAAAATGGCCCAATTTTCTTGAAAGCAGTCTTCATTAAGCAACAAGCACAGTACTACCACATTGGAAACACTGCTTTTTGTCTGATCAGCAGAGTTAAGCAACGTTGGTTCTGCTGGGTGAAATGCTGTAAGCAGTCTACAGTAGACATACGTGAGAGCCAACACCACCATTGACTTCCTGAGCTAATTGAGATATTTGGGAAGAGACGGTTCTAGGAAACAGCTGGATCTAGTCATAATAAACCTTTAGTGTGAACATGTTACTGTACTCTGGTGATATTCACTCTTCAGCAGTCCTGTGATATACTGTGCATCAATGGCCTATTAAAACCTTTTTGTAAAGAACAGCAAGGACTCATCCAGTCACTTCAAACTGGAAAGGCTGTTGTCCTGGGATGTTTCAGCTAATTATTCGAAAAGTCTTCCTTTGTAAAATTTACCATGGAGCATAAAGAGGTTGGAGGCCTTTGAAATGTGGCGAATGTTAAAAATAAGTTACATAGACTGGAAAACAAATGAAAAAGTACTAAGGTTATCAAAGACTTCAGGAGAAATACTTGAAATTTACGAGAAAAGAAAAATGAGATACTTTGGTCATATAATTGGGGATGAGAGGATGATAACAAATATTAATTGGTAAAGTTGAGGTAGGAGGGAAGGCAGAGACTGGGATGAATGAATGAAAGATAAACGGTGTCCCCAAAGAGATGCAAGATCTTGTAGAATTGGTAAAATGAGCCTGAAAACGTTTAGAGAGGAGGCTTGTGGTCGCCAACCCTAGCCAGTGATTGTCGAAAGTGCATAAGAGACGTGACAGACTGCCCAAGCAGCTAACGGGCCGATCAGTGGTGACGATAAAAGTAAAAGATAAGGGGACGGTACAGAACTGGTTGATTGGCAGATTAGGATTTAATTCACCATTTATCAGTTTACTAGCCGTTCAGGCCGTTTGTCACTACTTTTATTAATTACTTAATGAACTTTATTGTCCAGTGTTATTGCAAGAGGAAACCTGTAATTGGTAGTGTCACACTGGATAACACCTTCCTACATGTGTCTCGTGCTGTAACTCGAACACAGGAGACAATAGAGAGATGCTTACTTTACCACTGTACCACCAACACCCATTAACATTGCTGACACGAGTATCGCCACAATAGACCATGTTGTTCATCGTAGTTTCTAGACTAAATAAGTCTTTACTTTTATGTTCATTATTTTGTCACTTGGTCGAGTCATTTATTTGATCAGATTTAATTTGAATTTGTTTATTTTTGTACATACTGATATATTTGTTTGTTAATATATTCTGTAATTAAAACTACTGCATGTATTTCAATATACCCCATAGTAATGAGGTGATGACTGGTGGGATCTATTCCTTGGACCTGTTATACAAAGAAAAGTTAAATTTGTGATTTTGTTAAACCCTAAGAGGCCAAGAGTCGTAACAAACATAGAAAACGGGAAATTTGCATCACAGAAAATGGGAAATATCTACTTTCCGGGAAAGTTGGTTATCATATCTACTTTCCCGAAAAGTAGATTATCTACTTTTCAGGAAAGTAGATTATCGACTTTTCAGGGAAGGAGAATATCGACTTTTTGTGAAAAATTACCTAATTTTCCAAAGTAGATTATCATAGAAAACGGGAAATTTGTATCACAGAAAATGGGAAATATCTACTTTCCGGGAAAGTTGGTTATCATATCTACTTTCCCGAAAAGTAGATTATCTACTTTTCAGGAAAGTAGATTATCGACTTTTCGGGGAAGGAGAATATCGACTTTTTGTGAAAAATTACCTAATTTTCCGAAGTAGATTATCATAGAAAACGGGAAATTTGTATCACAGAAAATGGGAAATATCTACTTTCCGGGAAAGTTGGTTATCATATCTACTTTCCCGAAAAGTAGATTATCTACTTTTCAGGAAAGTAGATTATCGACTTTTCGGGGAAGTAGATTATCGACTTTTTGTGAAAAATTACCTAATTTTCCAAAGTAGATTATCATAGAAAACGGGAAATTTGTATCACAGAAAATGGGAAATATCTACTTTCCGGGAAAGTTGGTTATCATATCTACTTTCCCGAAAAGTAGATTATCTACTTTTCAGGAAAGTAGATTATCGACTTTTCGGGGAAGGAGAATATCGACTTTTTGTGAAAAATTACCTAATTTTCCAAAGTAGATTATCATAGAAAACGGGAAATTTTGTATCACAGAAAATGGGAAATATCTACTTTCCAGGAAAGTTGGTTATCATATCTACTTTCCCGAAAAGTAGATTATCTACTTTTCAGGAAAGTAGATTATCGACTTTTCGGGGAAGTAGATTATCGACTTTTTGTGAAAAATTACCTAATTTTCCAAAGTAGATTATCATAGAAAACGGGAAATTTGTATCACAGAAAATGGGAAATATCTACTTTCCGGGAAAGTTGGTTATCATATCTACTTTCCCGAAAAGTAGATTATCTACTTTTCAGGAAAGTAGATTATCGACTTTTCGGGGAAGTAGATTATCGACTTTTTGTGAAAAATTACCTAATTTTCCAAAGAAAGTCTACTTTCCGAAAGTAATATTTACTTTCAGAAAGTAGATTATCGACTTTTCGGAAAGTAGATTATCGACTTTCTGAAAAATCACTATTTTCCAAAGTAGATTATCATAGAAAACGGGAAATTTTTATCACAGAAAATGGAAATATTCCTTTCCGAAAGTTGGTTATCATATCTACTTTCCGAAAAGTAGATTATCTACTTTTGAGAAAGTAGATTATCGACTTTTCGGGGAAGGAGAATATCGATTTTTGTGAATTACTTACTTTTCGAAAATGTTTTGAACACAGAAAATGGAAATATCTACTTTCCGGAAAGGGTTATCATATCTATTTCCCGAGATTATCTACTTTCAGGAAAGTAGATTATCGACTTTTCGAAGGAGAATATCGACTTTTGTGAAAAAATTACCTAATTTTCCGTAGATTATCATAGAAAACGGAAATTTGATCACAGAAATGGGAAATATCTACTTTCCGGG